GAACTTCCAAATATAAATGGTCACATATAGCCTATATGTGACCAGTTATATTTGGGAATTCAGATGCTTGATTAAAAGATAAAATCTAGCGCCAAAATAGAAAGTGGTTTTTTCCGTGCAAAGTGCGAATAATTTTACTTATTGTCATGCCCAGCTCGACTTAATCAAATGAATACAAACTTGAACCTTATACTCCCTCCGTAACATAAAAAGCCTTCTCATTTCAAAAGTTGGTAAATTAAGAATAGTAAAGATGATATAAATTATTGAGGGTGTAATGAGAAAATAGTATTGTTGGGTTAATGGCCCGGCACATGGGCCAGCCCATTCACCTCGACCAGACGAACGTCTTCCTTGGCAGGGCAGCCCACTCGGACGAACGTCCGTACAAAGACAAGTGGATCAAATCCACAGACAACGCATTGGCGACGAACGTCGCCTCCAGAAGCCACTAACAATTGGGGCCAGCCCAATCCATGCGACAAATCCTCAAAGGGCCAGGATACGAACAGCCCATTATCCTTTGCAGTATCCAGCATCACCGAGAGCAGTCTCCCTTAACCAGACTGGACGTACGTCCCCGCAAAGTAGACAGGAAACCCAGATTCTGGCGGGAAGCGCATTTAATGCCGGAGATTTGGTGGTTGGGACATCAGCCACACACAGGCCTCCACGTCAGCATAGCTAGCTGCCCATTGGTAGTATAAATAGCAGGATTTATTTCATTGTAAAGGGTTGGCAACTTACTATTCTTAGCACTCTAGCTTATAGCCGTCTTACTCGCAGCTCTTCTACTGCCTTGTAAGACGAACGGCCGACGAGCCTTAGCAAAAGTATAATTCTTTTGGGGGGTGAGCCGGAAAAAATAATGGAACAAATCTAATGTGGCAGTAACCCCCCATGTTCTTGCAACGGACGAAGAACGCGGAAATAAATCGGTAGGAATTGGGCATGAATTGTGCGGGGGCCACCTGGAAGAAACGGAAGAATTCCAGGCAGAATGGATGAAGGGGGAACCGCAGCCCGGCCTCAATGGAGTCCAAATGAACCAAGACCATCCCCGGACGTCTCCTCATCATGTGGGACGCGCCCCGGAGGCTGTAGACGAACGGGGGAGGGAGGTATACCTTGAGCTTGTTAAGGGCCTTGACCAAGAAGGCTTGCTCATGACCAATCACGTTCTTTATGGGGCAAATATGGCGCTCCACATCAACCGTGAGGCCCAGATCGAACACCTCTACGTCGGAACCGTCAACGGCCTCGATGCCTGAATCGTAGCCTGCTGGGCGATCATTATCGGCGGCTGCGTTTTCCACAACCATCTGGATCGCACCTCCTTGGGGGGCATCGTCCCCATCTTCCCCAAGGGCCGCATCACCCTAGGTTGCGTCTGCTGAGGAGGTACTCGCAGAGGTAGAAGTCTCAGGAGCATTGTCTTGCACAATCATCCCCGCAACAGACGGGGAGCCGGAGCGGCCGGAGGTAGTGGCACCCTCAGAAGAGCGAGAACTGGCCTCAGAGCCAGAAGAGGAGCCGGAAGAGGAGCCCGAACCGGAACTCAACGAAATTTCCATGGAAGTCATTGAAAGAATCAGAAAGGGAAAACAAGAAGCCAATAATACCTTAGAGCGACGAGCTTGAGCCGGGGAGCTTATAGACGTGCAGATTGCAGAACGGCGGAAAACCTAGGGCGAGAAAGCGAGAATCAGAAACCCTAAACATATGGAGAAACCTGGTATTTATAAGGGAGGCACCGCCTCATAAAACCAGCGGCTAAGTGACACGTGGCGGGGAGCGTACCCCAGGGGCACGCGCCGCGCGTGGAAGAGGAGTGTAATGATGACCTTGTCTTGGAAAGTGTACCGTTTCTGCGGCAGCCGTCACCTCGATTCCTAAACCGCCAACCAAGCAAGAGACGCCATGGAGAGGAACGTCCACCCTCAGGAAGGTGGTAGGCGTAAGTTTCATACCACGAGCGTCCATCTTTTGGGGGCAATATACTTCCTTGTGCCCTTCGCCCGCTCAGAACATCAGAAGTGAGGGACTTGTGTTGGGTTAATGGCCCGGCACATGGGCCGGCCCATTGACCTCGACCAGACGAACGTCTTCCTTGGCAGGGCAGCCCACTCGGACGAACGTCCGTACAAAGACAAGTGGATCAAATCCATAGACAACGCAACGGCGACGAACTTCGCCTCCAGAAGCCACTAACAATTGGGGCCAGCCCAATCCATGCGACAAATCCTCAAAGGGCCAGGATACGAACGGCCCATTACCCTTTGCAGTATCCAGCATCACCGAGAGCAGTCTCCGTTAACCAGACTGGACGTACGTCCCCGCAAAGTAGGCGGGAAACCCAGATTCTGGCGGGAAGCGCATTTAATGCCGGAGATTTGGTGGTTGGGACATCAGCCACACACAGGCCTCCACGTCAGCATAGCCAGCTGCCCATTGGTAGTATAAATGGCAACATTTATTTCATTGTAAAGGGTTGACAACTTAGTATTCTTAGCACTCTAGCTTATAGCTGTCTTACTCGCAGCTCTTCTACTGCCTTGTAAGACGAACGGCCGACGAGCCTTAGCAAAAGTATTGTATTGGGGAGTTATTAAGTGATTAATAATACCTAATCTCTTACTTGCTATTTACTGTTTCTTAATCCATCTCACTTGTTAATTGGGCTAGTTCATTCACATATCCACTCCACTCGAAACTCTTGGGCTTACGTGTTGGACCCGAGGGTTGAAGGAATAAACCTCAACAAGTGTAATGGTGTGATGAAATGAAAGATAAATCCAAAAAAGTAATAATAATGTATTATTTTCAAAAATATTGATGGTATGATGAGAAGATTTAGAAATGAGGTCATTTTTTAGTTATGGATGAAAAAGAAAGTGAGAAGATTTTTTTGTTATGTAGGGAGTAGTTGTAAGTCCTTCACGAGCCAAAGTCGAACCAAGAGACTCAAGCACTTTTTAGCTTAAATAATACTCCCTCCGTCCCGCTATTAACTTCCTGCTTTCCTTTTTGGGCTGTCCCAAAATCATCTTCTCATTTCCCTAAATGAAAAGTTATCCTACATCAAAATAGTGTCAAACAGTGCAAAAACAGTGTCAAACAGTGTCTAAACAGTGCCAAACAGTGTCTAAACAGTGCCAAACAGTGTCTAAACAGTAAAGTCAAATTTATTTCTTAAATATGTGTTTTATTTAGGTCAAAGTAGGAAGTTAATATTATTCACTACTTGCAAAAAAACGTACTCCGTAGTATTCACTATTTGGAGCTCTAACGCACAGTTGCATATTTACCATATAAAAAAACGCACAGTTGCATATTTATAATTATGTGACTCTAAAGTACGATGCTTGATGATAAGAGTGCATAGTTCTAACAAATACGAATGCACCTCTATGGTTCTTTTCTATGAAAGATTTTTTTTTATTAATGAAAATGGAAAGTGCAATAGGAGAACATGGGCGGACCCAGGAAGTTTATCTTGGGAGGACAGTAACTTAAAAAAATATTTTTTGGGAGGGCGAAAATTATTTTTTGATATATATATATACACAAAAAAAAATTGTTGGAGGGGCGACTGCCCCCTGGGTCTCTACTACGGTCCGCCCCTGATAGAGAATGCACCTTTATGTAGATCAGTAGATGAATAAGTGTTAATGCGTAATTTTATTCGTGATTTTTTTTTATATCAGAAATCGCTGCACGTTATCTAAGACAAGTGGACATTTATCACAACATTTTCAATTAAATTTTATATATTTAAATAGTTACCCCTATTTTGATCTGACCTTAAAATCATTTCTTGTGTTTATACTTCTGAAATCAGTGGTCAACATAAAACTCAAAAGCAAAATTAAAATGAAGCATACAATTGAGAATTGAAGGGAATATGAGTAGAACAAGAATGCTAGCTCGAACTGATCAGGTGCATTTCTCAGATTGAGATTTAGAGCTGGCTGTTTATACTTGATAGGGGTCAATCAAGCTAATTAATGACCGATTCTTTTTAAGACTAATAAGGCTTGTCATATTGTTGAGATTTTTTTCTAGAGGTTCAAAGATCCAAACAGTCGTTTGGGCTTTCGTATGAGTCTTTTTAGTGGATTAATTTAGCAAGTGCTTATGGCAAGTAAGATGCAGAATGACAGATAAATGAGTTAGAGACAAAGTGGATCCAGTTCTATTAAGTCTTTTGAACTATTATAACACCTAGGCCGAACTGAGCTCCGACCCCCTAGATCGGTTGAATGCGACACAAGATACTAGAGAGAAGTCTAATCTAAGAATACAATTTTGCCAAGATTTTACAATGAAATAAATGCTGTTATTTATACTACAAGGTCATAGGTGATGTGAGTAATGTGCTCAACCATGAGTGGCTAAATCTCAACCATATGTAACACCGTCCCCAAATGTATTTACTTTTAAGTGAATAATATATTGAACCTTGTATAATGGTTAATGAGAATACGAAGTTGTGAATTTTCATTAATTATTTTGCGTGAATAGTAAATTCGCACGTGGGGCCCACACCGGGAGCGGGGGCCGCCCGATATTCCCGAGACCGTATATTTTATTCATCTTGGTCAATATAATATTTATATAGTGGTGGATAACTTATTGGTCCAAAGAGATGATATAGAGTTGACCGGTTGGTCAAAAAAAAAAAAAGGGCCAAAATACCGGTACTAGTAATTTAACCGATAAAAGCCCGAAATGGGATTTCGGAGACCTATAAATTAAAGTTGGGAAATGTATATTCATTATAAAGGGTATAATGATTAAGAACGCATAATATATTTTATTTGACCCGATAAAATAAAATATATTTAAAACAGTCCGAAAAATACAACTTTCGGGACCGATTGTGCACTTTGGGACAAAAAGGGTTGACCTCCCACATGGGTGGGGGCCAACCCACGAATTTGGGCACTCCATTAGGAGGCTTGGTCGGCTGGAGGGGTATGGGAAGGGGTGGAATTTGATTAGAAGGGGATCAAACAAATTAAGGTGGCCCTCTCCCCCCACTCCACTCATACTATTGAGACAAGGAAATCCTCCCTCTCTCTCCCTCAATCACTCTCTCGGCCAGCACAACCCAAGCAAGAAAAAAAAAAGAAAACCTCCATCCTCCTTTCCAATCCTTGAAGAGAGCTCCAACAATAGGGATCCAAGGGGAAAGATTAAAGGGAGAAAAAGCTAGGAAAAGTGAGAAAGATTAAGGTAATAACCTTATATTGACTTTTCCTTTATTTTTCTTCTATCATATGAGATATATATCTTATGGAGAATCCTTGGGATTGTTCTACTTGATAAAAGTGTGGAATGATGGGTTGGAAAGTAGTTCTAAGTCCAAGAACGGACTTAGGAGCCAAACCGACAAGTTCACCGGAAAATAACCTTTTAGAGGTTATTTGTATTGATTAAGGTTTTATGATGTTAAAACCTTGTTAGGAACTTGATTTAAAGTATTTTGAGCCTCGCCGGAGTTTCGCCGGAGTTGGTCAAAGTTCGCCGGAGTTGGTCAAAGTTCACCGGAAACTAGTCAAAGTTCAACCGGGGAGCGTAGAACGCGCGTGAGCTCACTTAAGGTGAGGATGACCGACTATATTGTTTATAATTATTGGGTTAATTTCATAAGATTGCCTAAATGAATTATATGTGTTTGGCATGAGTTATTTATGATTAAGAATGCCTAAAATGGAATATAGTATTGTTCATAAAAGAAAATGCATAATATACAAATTTAAGAATAAATTGTGTATAATTATGTGTTGTGATTATAATGACCCAATTGTGGTGTAAGTTATAAAATTGTATGGTGATAAATATGCTTTTACCTCATGAAGGGAATAAAAGTGATATTTTGATATTGAATCAAGTTATACTTGAATGTGAAATTAAATTGAAATGTATGAATTATTATGAAATTGGCGTTGGCTTATTAAGACTAGACGACTAGTATTGAAGACTAGTCGGGGATGTTAGTTCAATAGTGCTTGGGAGCTAATCCCAAGATATTGAAGCTAAGTAACCTTAAAGGATAATTAGGGTGGACTTTACGAAGTCAAGTTATGTTAGGAGTAGACCTCAAGGGTTACTCAAAAGGAATGGAGCCTAGACTAAGAAGTGGTTTAGGGATTAGATGACGTGACTACGAGCCGAGCTCTAGCACGTGGTAGTATGACTATGAGCCGAGCTCTAGCAAAAATGTAGGAATGACTATGAGCCGAGCTCTAGCAAAATGTAGTGTGACTATGAGCCGAGCTCTAGCACAAAAATGTAGGAATGACTATGAGCCGAGCTCTAGCGAAATGTGGTGTGACTATGAGCCGAGCTCTAGCACAAATTAATATGACTATGAGCCGAGCTCTAGCATGAAGGAACATAAATTAATTTCAAATAGTAACATCCTAAGTTGAGGGTCTTGGAAATTGAAACTTTGATTATACTTAGTATAGTTGTCATTGTACTTGTCAAATGCTTCCAAGTACTGACCTCCCCTTCACGGGGGAGGCCACCTCACAGTTTCAGGTCGGGATTAAAGCTTGCCGCTACCGCCCGTTGCATCGGAGAATTCAAGAGAAGAAGACGTGGTTCGTGCTTCTTCTGTTTCTGTTTTGAAAACGATTTAAACCATGCTCATGGATATTATTTTTCTTTAATATGTATTTAGGGCTTGTATGCCCATGTTGCCAAAGGTGTGGCGTGCACATTTGTATTGAACATTTCCGCTGCTTTAAATGATTATTTTACATTATGTTGTTTATGGATGTACTATGTGTGAATGGTATTCAAGACGCCTAGTATAGTATGGATGAGTTGGACTGCGGTTGACTATTCGTACTGTACGGCGGGTTGTTGACGTGTCCGGTAGGTCCGGGGCGTGACAATTTAATTGGTATCAGAGCCTTAGTCCGTAAACTTCATAATGAAGCTTCAAAATTCCTTTTGGAAAAGAATTTGAAAACCATGAGCATAAAGTTTTGTACTTATAGAACTTTTGGTACTTGAGTTGCAAAGTCTCTAATTGTTAAGATGGTACCCTTAACAATTGGCATGGCGGTGATTTGAGCCAAAAGATGTCCTTAAGTACCTATCCGTCACTTCACATTTGATACGAGTCTAACGGCCCATTCTAAACTTCTTTCAGAAATGGAGCCAATTGGAAGGATCACTAGGAGGAACCCGACGGGCCGTGTACCGGGTGGGTCCGAACGCGGCAGCCGGGGGTCCACTAGGGTGTCCAGGGGAAGGGGCCGTGGAGGCCAACAACAAACCGTGAGCGATGGCCACGTGGACACCGAGAGTGAGACTTATTGGTCCTATGAGGACTCAACCTATAGGCCGGAAACCGAGCCGGTGGAAACCCCATATGATGGGGAAGATGACGATGTGAGTGAAGAGAGTGAAGACGATGGCACTCTTGGGAGGATCGAGGCGCTGCTCCAACAATACCACCGGGAGCGCGAAGAGAGGAGACAACGCCGAAGGCGCCGAACGGGGCAACCTTCGGGCATGGCTTCGAGAGGAGGAAGCCAAGGTGCTTCTAGAGTCCATGTTGAACCACATGGAGGCCAAAATGTGGGAGGTCCAACCATAAGGATCTCCAAATTTATCAAAGAAGCACGAGATTTGGGATGTAAACCGTTTGATGGAACGGGAGACATCTCCGTTGCAGCCGAATGGATCAAAAGATTCAACGAGGCGGCCCTTGACATGCAGCTGCCACCCATCATGAAATTGAGGGTGGCAACAAGATTGCTCGAAGGCATGGCGTCCACGTGGTGGGACGGGGTCAAAGGAAAATACGGCGAAGTCGTCACATGGGAGAACTTTCGGCAGGAGTTCTTCAACCAATACTACTCCGACTTCGAGGTAAACATGAAGAGGAGGGAGTATACGAACTTGACACAGGGAGGCGCATGTACGGTGAAGGAACTTGAGCACAAGTTCAGAAAGCTTGCCGAATTCATACCGGAGTACATATGTGATGAGAACCGGATGGTGAACCACTTCTGGGATGCCTTAGACCTTGACATACGCGAGAGGGCAACACAATTGCCTAATATGACGTTTAGTCAAGTGGTTGAACAGGGCCTGAAGGGAGAGAAGGAGTGGGAGGAAAGAAAGCGGAGGAACGCCGAGGAGGCGAAGAAGAGGAAGTGGGAAAGCCATGGCCCACAAGGTTCTAACAAAAAGGGGAACCACGGGGGAGGAGGATCGTTCAGGACACCGACGCCGCCATCCAAGGGAAACTCGGCTTTCGGCGGGCACAACTCGGGCTCACAAGCCTCGACAGCGCCCAGGTGCCGAAATTGCAACAGGAGCCACGCCGGTAAGTGTCGTGACCCTCCTCGGTGCTACCAATGTGGAGACACGGGGCATCTTAAACCAAATTGCCCTCAACTTGGTGGAAACCGAGGGGCGGGATCAAGCGGCGCTACTACGGCAAGTAGGAGTCGGACCGGAGCACCCCATGCTAGTACGGGGCAGGGGGGAGCGAGCGCCAGCAACGCGCCGTCCGTGAATCAAGGAAGGACGCAAGCTAGAGTCTACGCAATGACCGAGGCCGATGCTCGGGCCAATCCCGACTCCGTTGCAGGTAATACACGTATTCCCATGTATTTCTAGGCTTGCATTGATCATATACGTCGTAGGGATTGAGTGCGGGCCACCCCGGGGTCAAAACCGGGCAAGTTAGGCCAAATCAGCTGGAAACAGCCACTGCCGGCCAGGCACGCTCGCAGGCACGCCGTGCCTGGCATCGTGCCTGGAAGGCAGTGGCAACCGGAAGATTTTTTGGGCCAGGCACGGTCGCAGGCATGCCGTGCCTGGCACCGTGTCTGGAAGGCAGTGGCACCCGAAGAAAAGAAAAAAAAAATTTTTTGGGCCAGGCACGGCCGCAGGCACGCCGTGCCTGGCGTCGTGCCTGGAAGGCAGTAGCGTCCGAAGTATTTTTGGCCAGGCACGGCCGTAGGCACGCCGTGCCTGGCATCGTGCCTGGCCGGCAGTGGCACGCAGAGTTAGTTCGTTGCACGCACGGTCGTGCGTGCCACCCAGGCACGCCGTGCGTGGACCCCCAACCCCCGAAAATTGATTTTTTCACCCCGTTCTTCTACGTTTGGACCCCCGTTTGATTCCAAACCTTAGTATTGACTTAATAACCTCCTAAAGATGTGTAAAAACATTAGAAAATGTATCTTACATGGTGTATAAATGTAGGAACATTAAAGATCAATGGTAGGTGTGCGAGGATCCTCATCGATACCCGGGGCACAACGCTCATTTGTGAGTGAGGCGTTCGCCGAGGGACTTGACGTGCCATTGACACCTATGACGCAAACGTTGCTAGTCTCCACACCGTTAGGGGACGATGTGGAGAGAAATCATTACTATCCATCATGTGAGGTGGAAGTGACGGGTCAACCCTTGACTTGTGATTTCGTACCTCTAAGCATGTTGGAGTTCGATGCAATCCTAGGAATGGATTGGCTTGAGAAGCACCATGCTCGAGTAGATTGCTACACCAAGGTGTTGGAGCTCGAGGATGAGCAAGGAAACACGCTATGTTTCGAAGGAGATCGGGGGAAATCAAATGCTTGCATCATATCCGTGATGAGAGCACGGAAGATGATGAGAAAAGGGTGCCACACATACCTTGCTTACGTGGTAGATGATACGAAGAAAGAAGTCGACATCAAGGATGTTCGAGTCGTGTGCAAGTACCCGGACGTCTTTCCCAAGGACCTACCGGGGCTTCCACCCGATAGAGAGATTGAATTTGTAATCGAAGTGGAGCCGGGAACCAAGCCCATTTCGATTCCTCCTTATCGAATGGCACCGGCCGAACTTCAAGAGTTGAAGGTCCAACTACAAGAACTATTGGACAACGGGTTCATCAGACCCAGTCATTCACCGTGGGGAGCACCCGTACTATTCGTAAAGAAGAAAGATGGTACACTAAGAATGTGTATTGACTACCGACAGTTGAACAAGGTCACCATCAAGAACAGGTATCCCTTACCGAGGATTGATGACTTGTTCGACCAACTTCGAGGGGCAATAGTGTTCTCGAAGATTGACTTGAGGTCGGGGTATCATCAGTTGAAGATCAAGGAGAGTGACATACCTAAGAGTGCATTTCGCACTAGATATGGTCATTACGAATTCCTTGTGATGTCGTTTGGTTTAACCAACGCACCGGCGGCATTCATGGACTTGATGAACCGTGTGTTTAGTGAATACTTAGATCAATTCGTGATAGTATTCATTGACGACATCTTGATATACTCCAAGAGCGAGGAAGAGCACGAACACCATTTGAGGCTTGTACTTGATCGGTTAAGGGAAAAGCAACTCTTTGCCAAGTTCTCAAAATGCGAATTTTGGCTCAAAGAGATCGGTTTCCTCGGTCATGTCATATCCGGTTCGGGCGTTGCCGTGGACAACGCCAAGATTAAAGCTATTATGGATTGGGAGAGACCCAAGAATGTGAAAGAGATACGTAGTTTCCTTGGCTTAGCGGGATGATGTGTGTTTTCTCGCACTTAAAATGGATCGTAATATAGTGGTGTAAGTACGAGTATCGTCTCCACAGGGACGGACAAAAGGGAATTAAAGATTAACTAAATTCAGCGATTAAAAAGAAATAAAATAAATAAATGCAAGTGTGCGAGATTTGATTGGTGAATTAAAATTAAACTAATGCGAATTGAACGATTAAAATAAAAGTGGTTTCTTCTCAATTAACGACGAAGGGAATAGGAATTGATTCCGGGGTAACCAGATTTCTGGCAGATCAGGCCTAATTACATGAATTTAATTTAATTGAGCCTAGCTAATCATTACTAAGTTCTTACCGCTCTCGCGGCGTAGAGTACAATAATTTAGGGGTCCAGGCTGATCTCTCATGCGACAAGATCCTAAATTATTGCCAAAACGAACGAGCTTACGGCCCCTTAATCGCTACTAATCTCTTAGCGAACGATTAAGTGTGTGTGAATGTGTCCTAGAACAAATTAGATCTCTCTTAATTTATTCTATAAGCAATTGTAATTCTAGTGGCCATCTAGGTTACAAGAGATATCAATTAAATTATTCATACACAAATTAAACGGCATTCATGCAATTAAACCGACAAGAATCTAGCCATCAATCATGATTAACCCCTTCATCAACCCCAAATCCCTAATTAAACTACTCACAATTCATAATTGAAAAATCAACAGAATTGGGATGAATAGAAATAATTGTCATTAATTAAAAAGATGAACTTACAAATAATCCCAGGGTCTTGGAAGAAAATAGCGTAAAAACGGTGTTAAATTCGTCCCTAGGCCTCTCCGTAATGTTCGTAACCCCCAAAAAGGGTTAGGGAGGCCTTATTTATAGAAAACAGGGGAAAAAACCGAGTTTGGGCCGAAAAAGGAGTTTTTCGCGCGTGTCACGGGGCTACGCACGATCGTGCGTCCCTGCCTACGCACGATCGTGCGTAGCAGGCAGACGCCTCATCGCGGTTTAGTAATGGACGCACGATCGTGCGTCCCAGACGCACGACCGTGCGTCTGACTTTTTCGCTCCGTTTTCTCGTTTTCTTGCTCCAAACGTGCCCGGATTCAAACGAGGTCGATCCCAATGCTCTTTCTTCATCAAAATTTCGCCGTGAATCACCCGGTGACCTCCAAATCTCTCAATTCTTCCTTGAATGCTCTCTATCTCCTCCCGATTGTCTCTTTAGCGCCGATTGCCGGACTCTAACTTCTTCAAATCAACTCCAAATGCAACGAAACTTGATCCAACGCCTGCTAAACACAACTTGAGCCAAAATTGAGACTTGCAACGCCTTAAATCCAAGAAAATCATCAAAATCCGACCTGGACACGCATCAAATGCGTGTCTAAATACGGACTTATCAGACTCCCCCACACTTAAGCTTTTGCTTGTCCTCAAGCAAATCGAACAACGGGACTTACGATAATCACCACACGGAATTTAAAATAGTTAGCATACACATGTAGTTAAAGGGATATTCACAGGGCAGACAGTTTAAATCAAGAAAATCCTTCCCTAAACTACGCCTTTGTACTCAAGCTAAACTATTTGACAAAATTATTCACAACATCCTCAAAGTAATGACAGCATACACAAATAAACTAGATATTGATCAGAAGGACTTGTGAAGGTGATGATGGATGGATAATAATAATAGTCCCTTTATTTTGAGAGATCGGAATATTCTAACAAAGACTCAATGCATTCAGGAACTTCAGGGCTATTTTTTTAGGATCAAGGAACTCAGTAGGCCACAATTTAGGAACAATCATTTAAACCTATGCAAAGAGTAGACATGGTGTACAACTAAGCTAAACCGTCTCGGCACATTTGTGCTTTGACGTATACTTGAAGTACGCGGAGGACTAAAGCTAAATTTTGAGATAGCCTCCAAGTTCATTAATTTAAGTTTAGTTTTCCTTGTCATGTTGGCACGAGAACGCCGTTTCTTTCGAAAGATACCCAAGTCTCATCTTACGCTTTTTGACCAGGGTTCCCATTCTCTTTTTCGCAAAGTAAGAGGTCTAGCTATATTAATTTTTCACCTTTCGGATTCTCACTAGACATTACCCCATTCTAATCTCGGCCTCACCAAGGAAAAATAGCAATTAAAGTTCATTAATTTAAAAGTGAATCCATGCCTACAATGCAATCCTCGAAAGTATCAAGTTCCTAAAAGATGACTGCTCTTACCCCATTTGAGGCATAGGAACAGTGCCAAAATTGGCTCCTACACAAATTCCCTAAACTTAGCAAATTAATCCCCTAGTTCCCTAAACATCAGGACTAAGTCAGAAATATTCACGGGTAAGGAAACACGGTCCATTTGGCTTTGGAGCTAAATTAATTGGGTAAACAAAGAACAGTCAGGCTCAAAATGGCTTCTCCTAAAGGACTTTATTCAGGTCAATGGGAAAACTGTTGATTCATTACATGGGTGACTAATGCCTTCATCCTTTCAACAACCAGATTATCATGCAAGCAATTTAAGCCTAAACACTTCAAGGATGTCCTAAAAGCATAGTCAAAACGCTAGCCAGTTCACAAAGACACAGTTTAACGAAAAATTTTCAAAAATTTTGCATGAATTTCCTATGAATATACAACTAACACCTGCGCATGCTAATTCTAACAAATCACATGTAACAACCACTGCCCGAATGCCCAATTCACTCCCCCACACTTAAACTTTGGCATCGTCCTCGATGACCAAAAAAAATGCATTATGTACTAGGGGTAAAGAGGAAAGGGTCACGCGTGCTCAACATTAACTCAAGTCATTATCACAAGAATAAGAACCAAAGTAACTTCCCTATGGCGATGGTTGGAGTAGAACTCAACTGTGTGAAATGAACTCGGCAATTTCATCCACGGGACTAGTAAGCTGCAATCATCAAAACACAAACAAAATCCAAGAAATATGGAGAAATAGTAAAGAGTAACGTGAGTGAGTGAGTGAGTGTGAAAGTATAGATACAGTCATCCAACAAAAATCAGAGAACAGAGGCTAACGGCGAACAATCTACTAAATCACTACTGCTCCGGAGGTGG